GACAAGGGCTGTCCTAAAGCTCTGGGCCCGCTCTACTGCAGCCCCGGGCGGCGGCACAGGTGCCTAACTCAGCCTGGGCTAGGAAGCGCGAACGTGGCTCCTAAAGCGCGGGGCGGGGGCGGGGATCAGCGGGACGTCTCATGTTTGGGTGGAAGGGCAGCCTGGACGGTGGGAGCTTTGAAGGCCCGCCTGAGGTGTTGGGCTTTATCCTCGAAGGGTAGGGAGGGCTAGGGAATAGGGTGACAGCGTCACATCCTCCCGGTGAGAACCAAGGCTGGGACAGAGAGGAGGGAGTGAAGTGGCCAAATCAAGGCGGCCTAGGCTTCCAACCAGGTCCAAGTAGGATGATACCCTGATCTGGGTGCTGGGCTGAAGAAGCCTGGGGTTGAATCTGGGCCCCACTGCTTTCTGGCTAGGCGACCCTGGCTGGAGAGAGAGTCCTCTCTGAGCCTGTTTCTTCCTCTACAAACTGGGTGTCCCCTCCCAGGGTGGGTCTGAGGATAGTATTACATAATGTTTAGCACTGGCACCCGGCACAGAGTGAGCTTAGCAAATTGCCAAAGTGAAAAACTAAAAATAATGCTCATGTCAGTGAAAGTAGGGAAACCAGCGCTGGCTTCCTGTGTTGGTTCATCTTTCTGAAAAACAATCTGTGAGTTCTCAGTCAAGACTCTTGAACATGTTCTGCCCTTCGACCTGGAAACCCTACTTGCAGGAATCTGGCACAAGAAAATAATCACAAAGGAGACTTTTTTAGGCCAGTGGGTCATTCACAGAAACATTATTTATAATAGCTGTGTGGAAAATAATCAACTTTAGAGGAACAGCTAAATAAGTCATGGTGTCTGCCTCTTAAGGAATTGCACGCAGCCATCAGAAATTATGTTTTCAAAGGATATTTAAACATTCACAATACAATGTGAAGTGAATTCAGCAGGTTACAAATCTGTATGCACATTTTAACTCTGGTTTTGGAAAGAATAAATATATGTGTGTGGTGAGCTCATGGGGTTTTTCATTTTTTCTCATTTTTTCTAATTTGCTGTGATTGGCTTGGATGACTTTGTCATGGGGAGGAAGTGAACATTTCTTAAAATATATGTGACTTTGTGATGCCTCCTTGTAGAGTAGACGAGATGGTGGATGGGAACTCTCTGGGGACATTGTTTGGGTCTAGACTCACATTAATTGCTTTTAATCAGTCCCTTGCAGGCAAAGCCCCCCAAAGGAATATGTTCAGAGGGAGAAGAGAGGCCCCATCTCTTTCTATCCCAGATGAAGTCTGAGGCTGTAGCATCACCCGGAGCACTCTTCCTTGCCTCGAATTTGAGATGCACCTTTATCATGAAATAAATTCGTATACTTAAGTGTATCCATGTTCAGACCTATTCTGCTCCAAGACTCTGCCTCTCTCTTCAATATCACATAGTGTGGTTATTACAGTTTTGGAATATATTTTAATACCTGATAGCACAAGCCCTCAGCATTGGTTATGCTTTATAAAAAATTTATTGCCCCTACCTTCCAGGATAGCCCAGCACAGGGCTTCTCCCAGCATAAGACCTTAGTTTGGCTGATGGATGGGACTGACTTGTGGGTAACAGGCTCTCCCTCCTCCCCGTCTCCCCCTTAACAGGTCCAGCCACAGTGGCTACCTTCTTTCCCCAAAGGAACCAGACTTCCCTCACAATGCTCCCTGTTGCCTTTCACTCCTCACCAGGCTAATTCCTGTTCAGTCTTCCCAGCCTGGTTCAAACATCACCTCCTCAGGAGGCCTTCCCTGATAGCCAGATATACCCTCAAAGCCTTCTTTCCACATGGGGAACTGGGCAGTGTGGGGCCCACTGGGGCCTGGGATTCCTGCAAACAGCTGTCCAGGGTCAGAGCCGCCCCAAGTCCAGGCCTCAGGACCCAGCTCTGTCTCTCTCCCACAGAGCCTGGCGTATTTATGATCACTTCTCCTTCCCACCCTTGGGTACCTTCCAGAGACAGACAGCATAGTGGTGAGGGTGATCATAGTGACGCTAACTATAGCTCTAATTCTTCACTGTTTCAAGCCCTGTTCTCAAGTTTTACCGAAATTCTTAGTACATCATGGAATCCTCCTCACACAACCCTAGGGAAACGTAAGATTATTGTTCCCTTTTGACAGATGAAGAAATGAAAGGTCAATGAAGTGAAGTGATTTGCCCAAGGTCGTTGGGTTAGAAAGTGGCAGAGGTGGGATTTGAACAACAAGCAGACTAGCTTCAGAGCTGTGTCCTTGATTTTTATGCACCCAACCGTCAATACGCAAGGGCACCTGCCTTGTTCTGGGCTCATGGGGAGCTCCTAACTGGCCCCAGGAACCTTTGGTGCACAGCCCCTACCATGCAGTGGAGGGCACTGTGTGTGCCCCAACCTGGCCCAGCTGCTTCCTCAGCAGTCACCTTGCCCCAGACCGGACAGGTGCCACTGCCTTGTACACCTGGTCTGCTTAGCTTGTCTTTCCCTCCACAGGGAATCTTTATTCTAGCAGGACAAGTCCCACATCTTTATTGACCTTTTCAGCCCCCTATGTCTTGCTTGAGGTCTGGCATGAAGCAGCCACTGATCAACATCTGTTGTAGAATAAATGAACAAAATCATCGAAAGAGCCAGAGCCTGAGCAGACTTAGTGACTAAACATAATGGCTTGACCCAGGAGCTGTGTAATAAGGCCACCAGTCAATTCAATACAATCAGCGTTTATTGAGCCCCTACTGTGTGCACAACAGAAACCCTATTGCATATAATAGCATATATTAGAACTTCTCCAACTTTGATGTACACAGGAATCTCCCAGGTTCTTGGTTCTTGGAAAATGCAGGTTATGAGTGGAGCCTGAGAGTCTGCAAATTCCAGGTAATGCCCAGGCTGCTGTCTGGCATCAGAAATACAGCATAGGCAATATGTATAAGATATATAGTATGATCTCATTTCTATAAAAACAAAATGAAACAAGATGAATATATATATGGAAAAAGCCAGAGAATGAACACTAAGCTATAAATAGCAGTTATCTGTGGGTGGGAGGATGACCAGAAGCTTTCAAATACTGTGTAAAGTCTGATTTTTACAATCATGTTTGTAATTAGGAAAAACAACCCAGCCGTGATGGCACCCCTCTAGGCAGGCATCTGTAAACTGCACCCCTCTCCAAATTAATGGCCCCACTCCAGGTCTTATCTCTGCCCTCTCTGGTTTTCAAAGTATAAAAACGGGCTGGCTTGGAGAAGCTACTTAGGATGCATGTTGTGTATAGTGGCTGCTGCAGCCGTCTAGAGGGTTGTCATCACCAGCAGTATTCTCAAAGCAATGGTTTCATAAGGATCCCCTGAGTGCCAGGCTGGGGCCATGCACATCACAGGCATTCATATCTACCATTATCCCCATTACCCATATTAGATAACTGAGGCTCAGAGATGTGGTGGGACCTGGATCACACAGTTTGCCAAGGCCCAGGCCAGGGTCCTGGAACAGGGCCTGCTCATTCCCCTCTGCCTGCTTGGAAAATTCCTCCCCTAGCTGTCTATATGGGTCACTCCTTTACAGCCTTCAGGTTTCTGCTCAAATGTTTACCTTACCAGAGTCCTTCTCTGACCATGCTACACAAAGTAACCACACTGCCCTTACCCGCCACCTTCCTCAGCTTTCTTACTTTCCAAAGCACTCATCTGACATATTTATTGGCTTATCTGTGCTTTGTCCTTCTGTTTCCACTAGACTATAAGCCACGTGTGGGTAAATTCTTAGTCCATCTTACTCACTGCTTTATCTCTGAGGTTTGGCAAAGTGCCAGGCTCAATAAATATGCATTAAATGGGTGAACAGATGACAGTTTCTGATTCACAGGCCACTGTTCTCCCAGCAGTGTCCCCTTCCCTGTTGATATACAGAGTGACCCACCAACCCCCAAAAGCACAGGGTAGGCTGACCTCCCTTTCCTAGCCTCCTTGTGGGGAGTCCAAATTAGGATCCTTAAATGCAGAAGTGGATGGCGAGACCTGGGGCCCCTTGGTCTCATGTGAAAGAGATAAATGGTAGTGTTGTTGGAGTCCTGGATTCAAATCCCTCTGTTTTACCACCACCCTGATGGGTTGGGAAAAAGACTGCCACCCTCTAGAACAAGAAGTCCCAGTGCTCCCAAGAAGGCTCTCCAACTGTCAAAGCCTTTGCACTTGCTTTTACTCAGCCTGACGTGCTTTTCCCCTGATCTGCCTGTGGCTGGCTCTGTCTCATCCTTTAGGCCTCTACTCAAATGTCACCTCCCAGTGAGCCCCTATAACTCCTCCCAGGGTAAAGTGGACGTTTTGCTTCCACTCGGATATCTCCTTTCTCTCCCCATTTACTTCTTCCATCACCGTTAGTATAAACTATTTTCCCTTTTACTATTTCAATTATCTGTTCATTCATTTGCTGCCAGTCTCCACCACCTGAGTGTTTGATCTGTGAGGGCAGGCACCTTGTCTGTCTGGTCACTGCTCTATCTCCGTTCTCAGGACAGGGCTGGCAGGTAGTACTCAATGAATGTTTGTTGAATTAATGTTCTATCTTTCTCCTTCTAGAACCAGGGAGACTGGGGCACAAAGGTGGAAAGGGGTATGAGGAGATGAATTAGTGTCAGAACTTAGAGTAGAAGGCAGTGACGCCAAGTGGAAGTCCAGGTCAGAAGGCCGTGACCTTGGAGGAGGCCCATCTCTCCAAGCCTCGGTTTCCTTATCTGCGGGATGCAGTGAGGGAATCATAACCAGTATCCCAGAGGCCTGGTACTAAGGGGTGATACTTCGCTCATTCCCAGGAATGATGGCTGGGGTGCAGCATCCGTACCCCCAGACACCGCTCCAGCGCCCCAAACACCGCAGAAGGAAAAAACTACAATCCCCATGGTGCCGCGGGTGGCGCCTGCGCACGGCGGCAGGTCCGCAGCGCCGCGCGCTCCCTCTGGCGGCATGCTGGACCAGAGCTCCGCTCGCATCCCCGAGGGGCGGGGGAGCCCGCGGCGCCAGCAGTCGGAGCGCGCGGCTGCAGCGGCGGAGCCGTAGCCCGGAGACAGAGCGGCGGCCGGATCGCAGCCCGCGGGGCCCGCCGCAGCCATGGGCAACCGCGGCATGGAGGATCTCATCCCGCTGGTCAACCGGCTGCAAGACGCCTTCTCCGCCATCGGCCAGAACGCTGACCTCGACCTGCCGCAGATCGCTGTGGTGGGCGGCCAGAGCGCCGGCAAGAGCTCCGTGCTCGAGAATTTCGTAGGCAGGTAGGAGCGGCGCACCTCGGAGCGCGGACCCCCCAGCCCGGGCCCCCCGGGCCTCTGCCCCCGGCCCCGACGACACCACGACCTCGTAGCCCTTGGCGCTCGCTGCACGGCGGCCGGCGCGCCCCGGCCTCAGCCAGAGGGAGGCGGCCCTGCCCCCGCCCGGAGCCCTTCAGGGGCGGCAGCGCCCCCCGCTTGACGGCACACGTCGTCAGGCCGCCGGCCGCCGTCTCACGCCCCCCTTCTCGCGCCATCCTCTAGGGCAGACAGCTGCCCGCTGCCCCAGTATAGGCACCAAGAGGGCCTGCGTTCCTCAGCGCCTCCCTCCGGCTCCGGGAGGCCCTCAGAGCGGGCGGCACCCCCGGGGCAGTGCTCCCCACCCTAGGCTCTTCGGAACACAGCTCCCCCCGCCCCATGGGAATTCCTGGACAGTGGCAGAGACAGCACCCCACCCCCAAAAACACCCGGGAGAAGACACGGCCCCGTGGGCGCCCGCGACCCCGCGCAGCCTCCCGCCGCGCACACGCACCTCCGCGGCTCCTGCCGCCGTCCGTGCGCAGCGCCGCGGCCCAGCGGGCGGGGGGAGGCGCGGGCGGCGCGGGGACGGAGGGGAGCGCGGCGGCTGCGGTGGGGGCGCGCAGACGCCGCGTCCGCTGCGTTCCCGAGCGGTCGGCCCCCTGCGCCGCCGCCGCCCCGGGTCGGGGGCGCCCGTCGCTGTCGTGCTCCTCCTGGCCTGGCGGAGGGATTGTAATGGAGGGGGAGGGCGGTGGAGGGCACAGATGACTAAGACAGGGAAAGCAGGATGGCGGGGAGGGGGGGAGTCATTTGCAAAACCTAATCCCCCTCCTGCCTCTGATCCCGCAGGCGCTGGGAGGGCCAGGTGGCAGGGACTGGGGGGCAACAGCAAAGACAAAGGGTCCTGAGGTTAGGGGCACAGCACGGTCGTGACACCGGTCCCCATCCCCCCAGCTCCCCAAAGACAGGACAGGCAGATATGATTTTGGGGGTGCTAAGGAGGTGCTGGAGGCAGGATGCAGGGCTGGGCAGGCTGAGGGGGGAAGCAGGAGAATTGACACTGACCTCCCCATTCAGTCATCCCCCTCCTTACCTTCAGAAACCCTAGTTTTCTTCCAGTGACCTTCAGGGCTAAGGAAAATGGCACACAGGAGAAAGGGGCAGAGGCGCCTTCCTCAGGACAGCACTTCTAGGGGGAGACCTCCTGGGTCCAAGCCAGGCTCTGCTGTGAAACCTCAGGCGAGTCACTTGCCCTCTCTGAACCTCAGTTTCCTCATCACCAATGTGGACAATTGGACTGGTTGGTTATTCCTGCCTCTCAGACAACCCGAGAAGCCCAGAACCAGCTGTAGGGGTGAGAGGGACCAGTCCTGACTGGAGCAGTGTATCTGTGGGGTGTTGGAAAGCCACTGTGGGGGTGGCAGGGCCCACCTGGTCAGCAGAGGGATAGGCCGTCTGTCTCCTGGAGACCGGCCCCCACAGAGCCCCCGTCCTGCTCACATGACCCCCAAACTGCAGAGACACACAGATGGTCCCCTTCCATGGCCCGGCAGTCAGGGTAAGGGGGTGGGGAGGCCTCTGGAGACAGTAAGGCTCAGAGGCCTTAGTGCTTTAAAAGGCTTGCGTGGATATCCAGCACTTCATAGGGTATGAACCACACTCCTTTCATCCGCTGGACATTAGCTGAATACCTGTTCTGTGCCAGGCTGTGTGTTCTGGGCAGGGGGTATGGAGGGCAAGGCGACCTCAGCTCCATTTCCTGGGCCCCTCCCATGCCCCCTGTACCATGCTTCACGGGAGGCTCACAAATGCCCCATGGGGCAGGTACCATGATGCTCATCCTGCAGATGAGGAAACTGAGAGCCCAAGGTTAGACGCCTCACCCAGAGTCACCCAGCCAGACAGGGCAGCGTCTGTTAGACTCCTAAGCCCAGTTCCTAGTCTTGGCCTTGTCAGCCTCCAGGAGCCAGGCCCTGAACTGGGCACAGAGACCTGCAGGTGTGTGGACCTCCACTGTCCCCATCTGAGGGATGGGGACACTGACAGCCACTGCTCTACCTTCCTGAGAGGGCAGTGTGGGGCTCCAGTGGGTTCACGGGCATAAACGCGCGGGAGGGAGGCGTTGACAGTCAGTTAGGCTTGGGGGTCTGTGCGCACCAGGACAGACCTGGATTCACTGTCCACGAGACAGAGGTGCCAGTGAGTATGCAGCGCGGCAGGCCAGGCTGACTGGGGACAGTTTGTTTATCAAGTGGTGAAGCGGGGTGTGAACTCTGCCCCAGGTGGCCCAGGCCCACTGGCTGGCCCCCCCAGTGCCCTGTGGCAGTGGCCCTAGAGGAGGATGCGGGCCCAGGGCAGAGGAGGAGGGCTTTGCCTGAGGTAGAAGAGTGGGTGGGAAAGCATTATTTGAGCCCCATCAGCGTTTCGGAGGAGGCCCGGGCTGGGGCTCAGGTGGGAGATTGAGGCTCAGTGGAGCCCCCAGCCAGCCCTGCCTGCTCCCTCATGGGCCCCCACCTCGCCTCCCAGGGCTGAGTCCCCAGACTCCCGAACATGGTAACAGACTCTGCCTCCTGGGGCTTCACAGGAGCTAACGCCCCGTGGAGAGGAAGTGGAAAATCCATCAGGGGAAGCAGGGGCTGCTGCAGGCTGGCCTGGGCTCCTGGGCACCCCGGAGGGCCCTGCTGTCAGCTCTGCAGTGCAAGTGGCCCAGCAGCTGCCCAGGACCCAGCTAGGGCTTGTCTGGGTCTGAGCTATTTCTTTGTCCCCTTTTACAGAAGGGAAAACCGAGACTAATTCATTCAGACATTCACTGAGCGTCCACAGTAGAAAAGACAAAGGTTTTGTATTCCAGAGCAGGATTCTCTGAAATAGTAAACACACGAGCATATATGTGAAGAAGACAACTGGAGTGTGGTCAGTGCTGGGAGGAGAAAGGGCTTGCTTTCCACAGGGAGTCAGAAGAGGTCTCTAGGAGGTGGTGGCATCTGAGATGAGAAGCCATGTGACTGGCCAGGAGAAGCAGGACTCACTTCTAGGCTGAGGGGACAGCAACTGCAAAGGCCCTGGGGCAGTAACAAATTTGTATTTGAAGAACAGACAGGAGCCACTGTGGCCTGTGTTTGGCGAGCAAGGGGGTCATGACATCAGAGAGTTAGGCAGGGGATAGATCTGGAGGCCCTTAGACTAGGGTGAGGAGTTTGAGTTCATATTCATTATTGTCAAAAGCTTTTAAGTAGTGGAGTGATAGGAGCTGATTCCAGCAAGTGTGTAACTTGAGGAGGGAAGCAAGAGGGGGAGCAGGAGAAAGGCAGGAAGGCTGCTGGGCTGGGCAAGAGGCGATGGGGCCTGGACCAGGGCTTTAGCAGGAGAGGACAGGGTGGGCTCCAGGATATATTCTAGAGGAAGGTCCCATTAGACTGGAGGTGGATGGACATGGAGGGCAAGGAGAGAGGAGTCAAGGATGACTTGGGTGTCTTTGATTCTGTGTGGGTGTTGGTGCCATTAACCGAGTACGGGAGGAGCAGGTTTGGGGGCGGGGGAGGGTAAGATCAGGAGCTTGATTTTGAACATGTTGAGTCTGAGATGTCAGGTGGGCAGTGTGGTGATGCAAGTCGGAAGCTCAGGGGGAAGATGGGCTGGAAATATAAATTTGGAAGTCATCTGTGTGGAGATGGGATTTAAACCCATGAGTGGATGAGCTCATCTGGGGAGTAAGTGCAGACAGAGGAGTGTGCGTGGGCCTCAGGACACCCCAGCACTGCACAAGCAGATGCCGGGTGCACTAGACTCCCATTTGTCTGCCTCTGGCTGTGTGCTCCCTCCCCACAACACCCATATGGTGCCACAAGTGCGGTGTCCTGGGACAGGCTTCGGGCTCCAGTGCCCCTGGCCTCGCTCACTCTGGTGCCAGGCAAGCCGACAAATGGGAAGTGCCCACCCTCCGCACCCTCCTGGCCCCTGGGGAATCCAAGGCGGGCAGAGGGTGGGGGGGGCGGAATGAGGCATTGGGGCTGAGAGCTCAAACTCTGGAATCCAGCCTGGGTTCGTAGCTCACCTCTGCCAATAGAAGCTGAGGGACCTTGGGCATATTTCTTGAACTCTGCTCAGCCACTGTTTCTCATCTGTAAAATGGGGTGATATGACCTCTCTCATGGGATCATGCTGAGTATGAGGAAATTCTCAAGAGGCCCTCAGGGTAAGGCCTGGTACAGAGGACAGTCTGGCTCTATTCCTGCATTGGGCATAGGTGCAGGCTGGGAGGTGGGCTAGAGTGGGAATTGGGGCAAGGATCCTCTCTACCCAGCGGGGAATAGGGGGCCTTGTGGGTGAGCCTCTGCCCAGAGCCCAAGATGCATCCTAGGAGGCAAGGTTTTGGGTTTCTCTGGTGACTCTGCCTACCCTGCTCAGGCTCCCTGCTTCCTACCAATCCCCTGCCCTTCGTCCCCATTCTCACCCCAGCATGAGCATGGTGCCGGCCTCTGGCCTCTGAGAGCCCCTCTCTTGGGCAGCCCCAGCCCCTCCATGGAGGACAGCCCATTCCTCATTACTAAGGTCTGTCCTTTCTTCTGGACACTTTGAGACCCATCTTAGTGGTCCCATTTCACAGATTTGGAGACTAAGGCTGAAGAGGATTAGGGGATAACAGACATCGTGGGTAGAAAGTCATTGGCTGGAGAGGTGGGAAGGAACTGGCCTCTCCTTGGCACTTGCAGCATGCCAGGCCCTGAGGATACAGCTGGGAGCAAGCTGGACCCATCCTCGCTCTTGGGGGTCTCCCAGCTGAGTGCAGCAGACAGACACTAAATCACACAAAGAACTCTTGTTGTATGTTTGAAGAATGGTACAAGGAGCCTGATACTGAATTGAGGGGAGCTGTCAGGGAGCCAAGAAGGCCCCCGAGGAGGTACCATTTAAGGCTGGACCTGAACAAGAACAGGACTTGGTCGGGCAAAGGTGCGAACACACTCCAGGTATAGGGTCCCACCTGA